AAAAAAAAACATACGTCCGAGAGGAAACAAATAAAGAAAACAACACAATAATCATTCCACTAGGCTTCGAATCCATGAAAGATGCCGATGAGCGGGCATTTTCACAAACATCCTCCTAAGGGAAATGTCAAGAGCCAACTGGTGCGCTGCCTTATTATACGCATTGTCCTCTAAATACGGCTCATACCCATTCAACAAATCCATACAGGCTTCAATAGTTGTAGTTGGATCCTCTTTCTGAGCCTCAACTAATGCCATAGTACGGGCTTGCCTATCAGCTAAAAATTGCTGAAACAAATCAACCTTTTGAACAGATGTCTCACTACGTAGGGTAGCACTCTTTGCCAAAGCCTCTATGGCCGTGTCAACTGCACTGATGTTCTTGCCCTTCTTCTTGGATCGAGTAGTAGGACCCTGAGACCGTCTGTTTCTATTGTCTTCTGCACTCCGGACTTCATCCGAGTCTCCTGTACCCTCCTCCACCTCTTCCGGTATTGTGGCCGCCCTTTTCGCCGCATTCAAAACATTGACGGCGGTATGTGCATTCATTGACCCCTGTCCAGTAGCAATAGTCCCAAAAAAAATCTGGGAAAGTTGTACAAAGTGCTATAAACCCCCTTTCTTGAATTTCTTAGCCTCAGGATGTTTCTGACATTATAAAGAAAACAAGAGTAAATACTCATGTGCAATCCAAACACCAGTTCAACTCTTTCATATAACATAAGATGTTAAGAACATCAAAACTTACCGCCACATATGAATCCCATACTTCTTTTTCAGCTGTGACAGCAGTGTTAGTCTCAGAATCCCAACCAAATCCTGTTGTTTCAATTAATGCCTTAAACTCCCTCGTGTTACGTCTAAGCCTATTCCACTTTGCTTTAAGCTGGTCTGCTGTGAAATGCTTACCAAACTTAATTGTTATTTCATTAGCAATTTTCATCCACGTTTTTCTGTCCAGAGTGGATATTTGAATCCCAGTCTTTGACTCTTCGTATATCAGTTCTACATAAAAATTCTCAATTGTGGCCGGCCATTTCGTATTATCATCATTATCACACATCTAAAACAACACTTTCATCATTAAAATAAATGTCAATTTGTAAAGTATATACACACACAGACCATTGGGGGTGATGGGGGTTGATGAGGGCTGATTTTCAGCCCCCATTGGGGGCCTCCCAGGCCAGCCCCAAAGGGAGGCCTCCAGGGGTTGATTCAGCCCCAATGGGGGCTGATAATCAACCCCCATTGGGGCGGATGGGGGCTGATTTTCAGCCCCTATCAGGGCTGACAATCAGCCCCTATGGGGGCTGATAATCAGCCCCCATTGGGGCGGATGGGGGCTGAAAATCAGCCCTCATCAGGGCTGATAATCAGCCCCTATTGGGGCTGATGGGGGCTGATTTTCAGCCCCCATTGGGGGCCTCCCAGGCCAGCCCCAAAGGGAGGCCTGTTAGCGTTTATGCCCTTAGGAATAAATGTAACAATATTCTTTGAGATATTTTGACTATTAATAAAGATTTGTTTATTTTATATATCTATGTATTGTCCTCTTTATGTTCATAATAGTTGAATGTATGATAAGCAAACTGAAAGTCTGAGACTGTCATTCTAAATCTTTAGGTCAGGCATGTAATGTGAAGAACATGCGGAAGACAAGAATCTAAAGATGATAGTCTAAATCTTATGATCCACATTTGAGGGAATAAAGTTAGGCGCTTTATTCATGTTAAGATTGTTATGTTGTCTACTTCCTAACGGAGACGGCTTGTCTTGGTCGTCGGAGGTGGGACTCCATGGGTGGAGACATTGATATAGTTTCTAATGGTGAAATCTATATTGGATCGGACTAAAGTTGAATTGTTTTAATTAATAATTCTGTTTGAATAAAACAATTCACTTTTGATGAATTATATGTTGTCATCTTAATCCTGAGATGGATGATGAACCTGTATACTTGGCTTGTATCCTTTGATGTACTAAAGGGAGACATCCTGACATTATGTAAAGGTACGCTTGCCGGTACATTGAGGGTATGACTCGTGTATGCGTAGATTCGTTATTCATAGATAGTGGAATCCATAGCTCCTATAAAGAGTCAATAATATCCTCTTATGCATTATCAGTGGATTGGAAAATATGAGCACTCAGCCATTGGACTACTCTGTGTTATCTAATGGTTTACTGTTTGTAATGATACGAATAGTATTTTTCCGATGGTATGATAATGGAACATAAGATAAATGTAATCGGGAAGGTAA